TTCCAAATATTTTCTTGAATGCTTTTAAGTTCACAATTTTGGATACGTATCCCTACAGGGGATGCTGACCCTCTGTCCTGGAAATGGTTTATTATTATCAAAGGCGGGAAAAACTGTGTGAAACTTTTTTCAATATTCAGAAACTTAAAAAATTAATCCAAATCCAAATCCGGTTTGCGAAAAATATTTTCTAAAACATCAAGAGAAATCCTCATACGGGTGCCCTAAAGTCATGGTAAATCAACTAAAAAGTATCTCGGCAACAAAGCTCTTCCAGAAAATATTCGAAGTATGTTTAGAAAACAACAATACAATGGTAGAGTAGCGAGGAGGATTCCTGAGTAAGGCCAATATACAGAAGAAAACGAGCTTTGCAAAAGAGAACATAAAAAAGGGGTTTCTTTCTGGAAACGGATTGTTAATAAAAATGTCCAATTCAACGTAAAAGTATTTCCTTTAAAGGACAATCTTATGTTTGGCGCAAAGCTATGATAATGAAGAGTTTAAAAAAGTAAACTTTTACCTTACGAAAAGCATGTCAGCTGCTGGACGGGAAAACCTCCATACCATCCAAAGGAATTAGGATAAGTTTTTTATGTGAATCTTTTGCAATTGCATGTAAAATAAAGTGCTCAAAAGTTGAAAAAAGAAGACGAATTTATTTTTTATCAGCATACGAAACCATGCACAAGCCTAACGTTGCCCGTTTTTGCCTCCATTACAACTGTTCCGGAATGCTATAAAATCCTCGGCAGTTTCCTGGGTTGAGCGTTATTGAGCACGTGCTGAAGCAAAAATTAAAATATGAACAATTTTATCAACAAAAGGGAATTTATAAAACCGTAAAATAATAGTGGAACAATATACTATACCAAACTCTTTCTGCAGAAAGTTGGTCCAGCCGAATTACTAAGCTAAACAAATATTAAATTTGCTAAACAAGTGCACTAATTTCGAATGAAATAAATAACAGAAAATTAAGAATACAAATTTCACACCATTGTTAATTTGACATAGTAGAATGTGTGAATGATATGCTAATTAATAAATTCTCGTCTAATTAAGATTCTCCTAGAGAGATTTAAACTCAATCATAGGGACGAAATTTAAAATAGTGGATATATGAGGAAGCAACAACTAGCGGCGCGGGTATTTTTTTTAAATATCACATTTACTGATGTAAATGAATTGTTTTAAAAAAACTGTAAACTCAGAAGTCATTATATGATATCAGGTAATAGGTTTTAGGGCTTAGGAGAAATATTGAACCGTTAAAACCATTTTCTAATTCTAAGAAAGATACTCTTCGATATATGCTTAATACAGAGTCAACCGGAAGTAGAAAAGAGGGCGTGGTTAACGTACTAAATTTGGTTGAGTAGGTCTGGAGTTCTATAGATGGGCTGTGCGAATATCTCTGGTGCATTTATTTGTTTATTTATCGCAATCAAGCAGTTTTTAACAGACTCGTTCTATCAAGAGTTGGCGGAGTTATAAATCCGATTTCATTCATTTTCACACTTTCGGAGTGGATACCAAAAACATTTCTCGTATGCAGATTTAGCTGAGTTGGCTTTTGTGGTTTGGGAGATATGAACATTAAACTTATTAGAGGACGATGTCACGCCTATTTTTTTAAATTTACGCCCCAGTTGCCTCTTCTTAAAATGATTTGTGGTATCAAATATAAACATTGTGGAGCTTAGTTGTAGCGCTTTATAGGTTTTTGGATATTTGCGTATAATGGGCGTGGCAATTTTTGTCAAGATAATTAAATTTTTACTCGCTTGCCTGTACGCACGGATGATAGACTGACGGTCAGGCGGTCAAATTTTTTAATTATGTATGTACACATTATGTATTATACACAGTGTATATTAAGTTCGTCACGAAGTTTGGAACACCCAGAAGGAAGCGTCGGAGACCACATAAAGTATATGTATAAATGATCAGTATGTTGAGCTGAGTCGATTTAGTCACGTCCGTCCGTCTGTGAATCCGTCTGTATATAAACGAACTAGTCCCTCAGTATATCGTTTTGAAATTTTGTAAACGTCATTTTCCCTTCAAGAAGCTGCTCATTTGTCGGAACCGATATCGGTCCACTGTAACATATAGCTGTCATACAAACTGAACGATCGGAAAACTTTCACATTTGGCAATTTATCTTCACAAAAGTTGGCACAGGTTGTTTTATAATTATGCAATGTACGAAGAGATTATTCAGATCGGCTTACTATAGCATATAGCTGCCGTACAAACTGAACGATCGGAATCAAATTCTTCTATGGAAAACTTTTGCATTTGACAAGATCTATTCACAAAATTTGGTATTCAATATTTTCTAAGATAATTATGTAATATACGAAGAAATTATGCAGATCAATATATCTTCACGAAATTTGGTATTAGTTATTGTTTATAGAAATAATGTAATATCGAAAGAAATTGTTGAGATTACTATAGCATATAGGTCTAACAACGAAAGACCTTTTTAAATAAATCATAAATAATAAAAATTGGTAAATTCTCAGCGTGAACGCTTTATACGTAAAGTAAAGTGCTTTTCAAAAGTGGTAAAAACTTAAATTTTTCGAAAATTGCGCTTAAAAATTTGAAACGACGATAAAGTGCACGGTGGGTAATTTTAATAAAAAAATTGTATTCATTAATGTTTATAATTTCATTATAAAAAGATACACGCAAGAACAACATTTCATAATTATTGAATTTTGTTATTAATTTAATCATTCTCGAAATGCAACTTTTCGAGGGCCACTTTCATTTGAGTGGCTATAATTAAACAAAAGTGGTGATTCTGGTGCGAAGAAAATCAACAGATTTCTCATGAACAACCATTACATTCATCTAAATAGATTGTTTTTGGTCGGGTGGAATCATCGGTTCGTACTTCTTTCGAAATGAAGATCGTAACGCCGTTAATGTCAATCGAGAGCGGTATAGATTAATGATAATCAATTTTTTATGGCCGCAATTGGAATAAGTTGATCTTGATAACATCTGGTCCAAACAAGACGGGGCTACGTGACATTTAGCACGTGCAACAACTGAATTATTGAGAGAAAAGTTTAGAGATTCGATTATTTCAAGAAATTGTGGCCCGAATGGCCTCAAGGAAGTTATGATTTAACATCATTAGACTACTTCTTGCGAGGTTATTTGAAGTCAGTAGTCTTTAGCAATAAATCAGTCTTTCTTCCAGCTTAAGTCAATATTGAACGTGCTATTATATTATAGTATATAAAAAACCTTCGAATTTCCTTAACAATTAGTGTGTGCTTTTTCTTCTAAATGGTCAGACCATATTAATATCAAAAAATTACAACAGGAATACCATAATGATTTTTTTTTTAATTCATTCCACTGACGATATCGGTTTTTGTTTGTAAAGTCTATAAAATATAAGACACGACAACTATTAATTCTTATGTTTGATGACGAAATTGGTTTAAAGTGGTTGGTTGCTATGGTCGTTTTAATGTGTTTATGAACCTTTATCTTTGAAACAGTTTAAAATATGCATCTGATATGTTATGAAGTAGTCAAAATTATTTCAATTTAATTTTTATTTGTATACATAGCAACTCTAATTGCTTGATGACATTTGAAATAATGACATATTATTAAAACCGTTATAAAATTTGTAAATTCGTAGCGGACGCGCATTGTTTATAAAAACGAAAATGAAAATCTACAAATTTTTTCGAAGTTCGAAGATGGGCAAAATCGGCCCACTGCCACGCCCACAAAATGGCGGAAACCGGAAAATCTAAAGTGTCATAACTAAGCCAGAAATAAAGATATTAAAATGAAATTTGGCACAAAGGATCGCATTAGGGAGGGGCATATTTGGACGTAATTTTTTTGGAAAAGTGGGCGTGGCCCCGCCTCCTACTAACTTTTTTGTACATATCTCGAAAACTACTATAGCTGTGTCAACCAAACTGTATAGAGTCGTTTCTTTTAGGCATTTCCATATACAGTTCAAAAATGGAAGAAATCGGAWAATARCCASGCCCACCTCTCATACAAGGGTTATGTTGAAAATCACTAAAAACCGACTAACAAAAAACGTCAGAAACACTAAATTTTACGGAAGAAATGTCAGAAGGAAGCTGCATCCAGGCTTTTTTTTAACCATAAAAACCATATCTCAGAAAGTACTCGGCCGATTTCAATGAAATTCGGTATATAATATTTTCTTAACACCCTGATGACACGTACCAATAATGGGTGAAATCGGTTCACAACCACGCCTGAAATCTCGATTATCACTTTATCATGCGAGAGTATAAAGTGTTCGGTGACACCCGAACTTAGCCCTTCCTTACTTGTTATAAGATCAAGTACGTTTCTGAAGTGTTAGATCCTTAATTTTTGCAAAAATTGTTTTAAAATTTTTTTGTGGAAGCTATGAGTGTTATGAAGATATTTAAATATCAAAATTTCGCATAACTTTGCCAGTCGTCAGGACTGAGGAAACCAACATAATGTAAAATTTTGGATAATAAAATATTATTGACGCTGTTTTTGTATCAGTATATGACAGTAATATTTCTGTATGTACAAAAATGTTTTGGTTTTGCATTTCCTAAGATTCCCCAAAAATGAAAGTTTAAAAAATCTATTTATTGTGACGCAGAGAGTAGTCAAAATGCAAGATTTTGATCCAATAATTTTAAAATGGATGATTTCAAAGATCGTGTAACTAATGATTTTTTTCATTCGTTCCACCTTATAAATGCACGTCAAGACAAGTCAATATAATAACTAATTTTGCCTTTTTCAGTTGAGTTTGACTAACAATATTTTTGGAACACGTTTTAATTACCCAACCCTCTAAAGAGATTATTGTCTAAATGGGCATAAGACATTCTAGATAAATATTTTCTCAAAAACTAATACAGACTTTTATTTACTTAAGCAATCTATTATCATATATGTAGCTTATTTAAAATCAATTTTCTATTTCTTTACAGATTAAAAAGCAACTTCTTGGCTTGGTAAAGAGGTGATCTAAGCAAATGGAAGGAAATATGTTCGTGCACTTACACAATATTTCAAGTTGTATTAGACGTATTAATGAAACATAGCTCATTTGCCATTCACACAACGTACTTATTCTTCATTTTAATATTTATGATTCGCTGGAAAGTTTTCTTTATAATAAGGTGCTAACTTCAAATTCAAGCAATAAAAACCAGCAAGCAATGGAAGAGTTAATAATGCGCTTAAAAATAACATTCTTTTTTAAATCCTTGTAATATGTACAAGAAAACGAAAGTAATGCAAAAATCCGTGTAACATATGTCCCTTCGTAGTTTTGTTCGACGAGCATCCTTAAAGTGAAAATTGGTTAACCAGTTATCTTTGTATGGGTTCATTAGTAAAAACAGAAAGTGATACCAGTTCACTGTATGGTCAAATTACAGTTGTTTAAAAACCAAATCATACAAACATATTTAAGAAAACAATATTTTATAGGTGTTAAAGTGCTGTGATGTGCATGAAAATTATAATTTACAATATGTCAAAAAATAAGTAACTTTACGCCAATAATTGATTTCACAAGACACTAATGGAGATGAGATGGAACCATGTTAAGCGGCACTATGCAGTACATTAACAGAATTACTTAAAAAGATGTATAAAATATGTAATGGAAAGGCGAATTCTTCATAAAAATGGGGTTACATTGCCTTGTTAAGGCTATATTGATCGTATATGCCATTAAAGGTTAGTATCACCTTCATATGCATTAGAGTGTTTTTTTTTTGAACTATCAATTTTTTTCAGTCCCGTCACAAAATTTCCTTGAAAATACCCTAAAAAAATTCCCTGAAAATTTTAGCCTTTAAAATTAACATCAAGAACTGGACCAAGGCCTGTAAAAATTTTCCATAGAAAATACACTACAATCGTGAGTTTTTATCATTAAATTCCTACAGATCAGAGGTATTTTTTGGCATTTATATTTTATTTTCTATAAAAAGGGTCAGCTTTTTAAGTAAGGCTGTGTGCTATTTTCATAGATTTTTTAATACATACGAAATAAAATTTCCTACAAATTTGCCATGTACATTTTTTGCTATAGCTCCTGTCATTTACGAAATATATACAAAAAAATGCGAAAATCTTGGAAAAATCTGGTTTAAAGCCCCGTACTAACTCGCCGGTGTGAGTTACGACTTTGTTGCACTGGGCATTTTTGTAGAGTGAACAATTCTGAGAAATATGCGTCTAAAGTCAAAGCGATGCCATAAAATACCTCTGATCTGTAGGAATTTAAAGATAAAAACTCACGACTGTAGTGTATTTTCTATTAAAAATTTTTACAGACCTTGGTCCAGTTCTTGATATTAATATTAAAGGCTAAAATTTCCAGGGAAATTTCGTGACGAGACGGAAAAAAATTAATAGTTAAAAAAAACATCCTAATATGCATATATATATGTATGTATATAAATTTTAGTGTTTGTTATTTCCTAAGTTGATTTTTTCTTGCCCCCTGAATTTTCAGTTTTAGCCTAAATCATTACTTTTTTATATAGATTTTTAAAGATTGTTTTAATCCTTTTCAAAAAGATTCTATACCCAAAGCAAAAACGTACAAACGTACATTTACTTGAAAGTTATACGCAGTTAAAGTCATACAGCAAGCTGAGCATTCATATACATAAGTGATTTGCATATTCTGTGTTACTCATACGACATGTTGTACTATAATATATGAAAACAGTACATTTGATGAATAACTTTAATATAATGATTTTGGAAAATAACGGGCAGTCTAATATATGTACATAATATATTATATTCAGCAAATGGTTGCGAAAAGTCCGTTTTTCCAACCATTGGCTTGGAAGTGCTTCGTGCCACCTTTATGGGATTCGGCTCAACTGAAAACACCCATGCAGTCGACTGCTGCTTACTTTCGAGCTCATATGCATCAATCCACGATGCATCACTTTTCACGATGCTATAGACGTGTTGCAAAGCACTGCTATTATAGTATTTTTTTAACATTTTAACGATTGTCCAGTGAGAATTTCATGACATTTCATAGATTGGAAGTGAAGTTATTGCGTTTTGTGTGCGAAGATAAGCTTTGAACAAAGAGCCAACATTAAATTTGGTTTTAAAATTGGTAAAACTTTTACTGAAACGTTTCAATTGATGAAACAAGTTTATGATGATGATTGTCTATCTCGTAGCAGAGTGCACTGATGGTTTCAACGTTTTCAAAGTGGTCATGTGGACATAAATGTCGATCAACATATGGGTCAATCAAAATTCATCAAAAATCAGCGGAAATAATCATTGAAATTCATGAAAATGGAGTTGAACATCGCTAAAATATCGATTTATCGCATTTTGATGGAACATTTGGGCTTACGAAAGGTGTGTGCATGGTTTGTTCCGTACAAATTGACTGATGATCAAAAATTGTTCAGAATCCAACATTCGAAGGATGATTATTTGACTAAAAATCACATTTTAACCATAAACCACTCCCCGTATTCACCTGATATGGCACCGTGCGACTTCTTCCTTTTCGGAAAAATGCATCTGCCCACGAAAGGAAAGTGTTATGCAGAGGTAGAGGCCATTCAAAAGGCTTGAACGGGCATAGTGGTGCCCACACCGGCCAACGAGCTAAAACACTCGTTCGACATGCTTTTGGACCGTGCAAAACTCTGTATTGAAGCAGAAGGATACTATTTTGTATATACTAAAGTGATTTTGCAAAAAAACCATTTGTTCAGTTTTTTTTAAAGTCCTGTTTACTTTGGAACGCACCTTGTATGTCGAATATGTGAAAAATAATCGCGTGAAAATGTTGGCGATGTAATCTCATTTTGTCGCTGAGATGAATATTTTTAGTTACTGTAAACAACTCAAAATCGCTGGTATGTCAAAACATTTTGAATATTTATAACATGGAAAATGTTATACTTTACTATAAAGATTGCAACACAGGGCTTGCCAAATCTCGAATTAAACCCACGTATGCATACTATTAAACTTTTTCTGTGTTGCTGGACAAATAATACGACTTTGAGAAAATTGCGTCCCCAACAGAAAACATGTTAAGAGCAATTAGTTCAGTGTATCTAATACATTCTACTCTAGGCCAGCAGAAAGTCACAGTCACACAGGAGTTGATCGTTACCGCCTGCTAAGCTCATAGACTATAGTTAGTAATAATTTTTTTTATACATCCTCTTTTTCAAACTCTTTCAGAAGATAATTTCTACTCCTCGGACTGCCCCATTAACCTTTTCTAACCCCTATTCCTGTGGCTTTAGTCTCCCTCTCCGGTCGCACATTATTGAAGGCAACTTCATAGAAATGCCACTCTAACTTGTCAGGTGCGATAAGTAAGTAGCTTAACATAACTCAGTGTGCCTAGATGAGAACCAACCAGATGCATAAAATCCATTGATTTGCGCCGTAATGAAGTTCAAGGGATTTAAATGACCTGGTTTGAATTTCATGCACAAGTGAGGTGACTTTCGTTCGGAAAGTCTGAGATGTCTGTATATCACTCCCGATATTTCGTCAGTTGATCGATTCTGCGAAAAGTGTCCATACAGGAGTAGCTCTACACTGTTCCTGATCCATTCACTATTATCATTCCTTAAATACCCAGCTAGAAGGACTTTTCGCGAGAATCCGCCTAAAGCACAGAAGCTTTCTGGACTTTCGTTTGCTGAAGTTCCTATAAGGTTTGCAAGCAAAACTAATATCTCTGTGTTCAGAGAAGGAAAATTCATCTAGAACTCTCAATATTGAAATCAAGAGTATAAACTCCCTTTTGGCTAGCGTAACATCAAGGACCTCCACACTGTCAGCAGTCAAGCGTTTTGGTACATATTAAATCAAAAGGTAACTTACCGGTGCGGCTTGAGTTTGTATTCGAGCCAATTTTCAGTCTGGCTCTTCTTTCACAGCTCGATGCTGCAGACGTTTCGTCACGTCCTAATGCTCATCACGTTCAAAAGGGTATAGTCGATGGCCATTCCAAGCTGTAGGTCAATCGCAATGACTTGTGTCGAAAAAGTCCTGAGAATCAACCATTGTTAAATGGTCTCATATTTCATGCTGTGATCATAAACATCACTGGTTATGGTAAATTGTATATAAAAAATTTTACTCGTAATATGTGGTGTGGTATGGGATATATAGTATGTATGTATAATAAATTAAAGTGGCATTAAAATGCGAATTGGTAAGACTGAGCTAGTCTCCTATACGTTCACAGTGACCAGCATGCTTCATTATATTACTCGTATAACTACCGAGCTCTTCCTTTGAAGCATTCAGTTTTGTAAGAATTCACTCTCTTAAACACAACACATACAAACATTTGACATAAAGGTGGCGACGTTTTTAAAACAAACAAACACCAGCAAGAAAACCAACCATCAGAATCATTAGGCTGTTGGTAGAATATGGGAAGGCAAGTTCAACAACACACCCTAGAAAAGCGAATAACCTTTAACGTTGGATTGCAGGTTTGTTATTATAAACAGAATGCTCATGCCTACGGTATTCAAAATAATAGCCGGTTGTGATAATGATGTGTTGCTGTTGATAAAGATGTTGCGCCAATGCAGTAGAGTTGCGGATTAGGAAATGGCTGTAAGAAAAACATTTAGTTTAAGAGGGATGTTTTCAACAGTGTAAAAGTTTCTTTTCCTCTTTCTGTTTATATGGCAACGAAAGCAGTAGCTTCAAATGAATACAAAAGTACACATATGTATATGTAAATATGTATTTAATGCTCTTTTAAGATTGTGGGAATTAATTAATTCCATACTAGAGTTTTATTTTTTTAAGACTTTATTATGAATACAATTGACTTTCTGAACTACCAATTATATTAATTAAAAACGTAAAACTATAAATTTAAACCTAAAAAGTAATTTTTATTAGAAATAAGATAGTTTGATTTTTCAAAGAGTGCTGCCGCATTGCAAGAATTATTGTTCCGTTTCCATTAACGAAAGACCGTTTCATAGATATTATATTCGTTGTTCCAATGAAATATCATCATTGAAATTCATGGGAATGGAATTGAGCATCTCTAACACATCGATTTATCGCATTTTGCATGGTTTGTTCCACACAAATTGTGTGAGAACCAAAAATTACTTCACCTAACACTACTATCACTGTGCGACTTTTTCCTATTCGGAAAAATGCATTTGCCCATAAAAGGAAAGTGTTATGCAGACGTAGAGGCCATACCGTGTTAACTCGAGCATTAGATACTGCGGAATATAAAAGTATTTCGCATTAATTCTATGGTCGTACTCGTCGCACAATGTACACATTTGCATTCTACCTTGCCCACTTTTTTGACGAAAGGTCACAGAGATAAATGTTCTGTGATGTCTTTATACTGAGGTTCCTCTAAATTACATTAATTGTTTAAATATTTTTGAATATATGAAGTTATTTCCATAATGGTCTAGCTCCATATGCCACCTTTGTTGATAGTATTAATAATAAAGTTGTTTTGAGTGGGATTTTTACATACTATACGTATTAAGTAAAATATTGTAACTGATTTCTCGTTAAATCGCCTACCTTGTAACTCATTAGAGAGTTCGATCACTGGATTTCTTCTTCTATACTGGCGTAGACACCGCGATTATAGTCTCTTCTTTTCGCTACGCGGCGCCAATTGGATATTCCAAGCGAATAAGTTGGTCCTTCCAACGGAGTGGAGGTCTTCCTTTTCCTTTGCTTCCCCCGGCGGGTACTGCATCGAATACTTTCAGAGCTGGAGTGTTTTCGTCCATTCGGATAACGTGATCTAGTCAGCGTAGCCGTTGTCTTTTAATTCGCTGAACTATGTCAATGTTGTCATATATCTCATACAGCTCATCGTTCCATCGAATGCGATATTCGCTGTTGACAACGCACAAAGGACCATATAGCAGGACGGGAATTATGAGTGATTTATAAAGTTTGGTTTTTGTTCGTTGAGAGAGGACTTTACTTCTCAATTGTCTATATACAGGTAGTAAAGAGCTTGAAATGCCGTACCACAGTTCTCTTATACCGAGTTGTTGACGAGTGCTCTCAGGGAGTAGGAGTGCAAATCGAGTAGAAAATCGTTCGGCTGTCTGTTGTAATTGCAGCTTCTCAAACTTTCTTGTGTTTGTTCACGTATATTTTTTGCTGCACAGAGGCTGGTGCGAATCTTGGCTGCAACATGATAGTGGTCCGCGTTGATCTTAACTCCTCGGAGGGTACGCACATCTAAAACACTGGAGATGTGTCTTCCGTCTATCACAACATGATCGATCCGGTTTTTGTTTTTTGATCCGTAGACAGCCAGGTAGCTTGATGAACTTTCTTATGTTGGAATCTAGTATTACAGATAAGCATATTTCGGGCAACGGCGAAGTCTATCAGCCTTAACCTATTTGGGGATGTTTCATCGTGGAGACTGAATTTACCGACCGTAGTGCCAAAGATACCTTCTTTGCCTACCCTGACGATAAAGTCGCCAAGCACGATTTTGATATCGTGGCGGATTTATAACTCTCAATATTATGACAATCATTATGCGAACTTACAACTTCTTACTTTAAACTGCGCGCGTCGGAGGATTTGGAGAATTATATCTTTTTTTAGATTGATGGTACTGTCAGTCACATTTATGCCAAATTTCATGTCAAAATATTCATTAGTGTTTGAGATACGAGTCGTTTTATGAGCTGTTAAAAGTGAGTTTTTCGTTTTTGCGATGTCGAAATTTGTTGAGCAAAGAATTTACATTAAATTTTGTTTACGGAATCAATTTTCTGTTGCGGATACGTTGAGGATGGTGCAGAAAGCCTTTGGTTATGAGGCTATGTCTAAAAAAAATGTTTACAAGTGGTATAGTGAGTTCCAAGCCGGCCATGAAGGTCATATTGACTGTTTTCTTCGATTATAGTGGTGTTGTGCATTATGAATTCCTTCCTACCGGTCAAACAGTCAACAAGGAATATTATTTGAACGTTTGTGTAACGCTATCCGTCTAAAAAGGCCGGAATTGTGGAAAGGCAATTCTTGGTTTTTACACCACGATAATGCACCATCCCATACTGTCCTTGTAATTCGTGATCATTTCGCCAAAAACTCAACCCATATCGTTCCGCAACCACCGTATTCACCGTGCGAGTTCTGGCTGTTCACCAAGCTCAAAAGATCGCTCTGAGGACATCGTTATACGATATTCAAGCCGCAGCGAAGACGGAACTGAAGGCCATCCCGGAAAGTGACTACAGCCAGTGTTTCGAAGATTGGAAACTCCGTTGGCAGAAGTGCATTGCATCGAGAGGGGATTACTTTGAAGGGGATGAAATTGATTTGGAAAGGGGAAAAATACAATTCAAGTAAAGATATGAGGTAATGGATGAAACATGGCTTCATCAATTAATTTCGAAGTCCAATTGACAGTCCTCCGAGTGGATTGCACGTAATGAACCCGCTTCAAAGCAATGAAAAAGCAACAGTCGGCTGGCGAGGTTATGGCCTCTGTATTTTGGGATGCGCATGAAAGAATTTTTAAAAGCGAATACTAAAAAACATAATTGGACCGTTTGAAGGACGAAATCGCTGAAAACGGCCACATTTGAAGAAAATGATTGTGCTGCTTCACTAATGTAATTTATCGAAATGGGCTTCGAATTACATCTGCATCGATCGTGTTCTACAGATTTGTCCTCCGCGACTATTTTCTTTTCTCAGATCTGAAAATAATGCTCGCTTTGAAGAAATTTTCGTCTAATAAAGACGCAAAGGACAATCGTATTATCAAAATGGTATCGAACTGATGGAGGGTCGCTATCATCAGCGTATTATCCTAGAAGGGAACTATTTTGAATAGAAAAACGAAATTTACCAAGAAAAAATATAGTAGGACTTACTGACGAGAACTTTTTAATTGACCTATTATACTGCGAACTTATTTGCATTTAAATGCATCAGACTATTCGCAAATTTATATGACATTGTTTTACACACCTCCCCAATCGCACTTACCTGTATACATGTATATAGTTTTTTTTTATTGAAACGTAATAAAGTTTTGGTTTTATATTTCATTCAATTTACAACTAGTGAAAATGTAAACTAACAAGCAATATTTTTCTCAATTTATATAGTACAAGATAAAAGCTCTATTAAAAAGTTTTTTTTTAACATAATAACATAATAACATAATAACATTTGAATAACAACATTAGAACGTCATGAAACGTTGTTCTTTTTAGTCTGCGTCTGCTATTTCTCGTCTCTCCTAGTTTTCGAGCTTCAGGGTTTACATGATTTTGTAACCTTGTGGCATGTTCCGATGCCGTTTAGCGAATGACTTCCCATGATACATGTAAGCAGCATATTTCTTTCAGAAGTCGAGTTATTTTTAAAGAACGTTCGTCTCATGAAAAGTTATCGATTATATTACCTATTTAAGCTCTGATATAATTGAATGTGTTCTTAGAAAAATATCCGTGTTGTGTCTTAATTAAATTAAAATGATATCGAAAAAATTGTGATTACCGAATTAGTTATACAAAAGGGTGTTGTTTTTAGATATGAGATATCAAGAACGCATATATTTAATTTTATGGGCAACTAATATAAAGATTATGGATTGCCGTTATGTTTTAAAACTATTCGGAGATATCTCAATTTTTACTCAAGATACAGCTTGCCAGGGCGGATCCTCGGTTGAGCTACAAGTTATACGTTACTTCCTTAATAAGTAACACTCCGCAAAGAAAAATACTTGGCTCCCCAAATCCAAATCCCAATCCTCTACTCTGGATCCTCCCTGTACCTGCAGGTTAAGTTTTAAACTAAACAAACCAATTCGATGTGTACGTTTACGTTACGAACCATTTTTTCAAAAAATATAATATAACACATTTCCAACTTCTTGTTTCTGAAATTATGATTTCTGTATCTTATCGGTTTTAGATCTAGATGCATTTAAACATTTCTTCCTTTGTTTTTTCCATTATTGAATCAATAAATATTCTTTAATTCTTGCAAATGTTTAATTAAAGTTGTGCGTTCTGCGTCTAATTCTGATGAAAATTATTAAAATATGTTCAGAGATTTATAACAGACTTTAGAAATTTGAATTAAAGTATATTTTACTTTATTTTTCTGCAGCTGATTTTAGCTTAATTGCAAATGGGCTAGACTTGCAAGGACCGATATTTCTACATGAACCACTGCATCGCATTGAGTTTTCAAATAATACAGGCGGCTTAATAGAATGCTCTGGACATGGAAGCCCTCCACCAGAGGTAAGAATTGATCCAAGCTATGGTTTTTAAATGACAAATGAATTTCTGTTGATTGGAGGTCAAGTTAAATAATGTGTACTATATATGAGGTGTGTTCAAAAAGTATCGCGAGTTTTGTGTTTTTTCAAAACTTATTTATTTATTCATGAATATCTAATCAAAGTAATTCCCATGAGATATTATACACTTGTGCCAACGGTTTTTCCAATCTTCGAAGCACTTCAAAAAATCATTTTTTTATCTTCTTCAGCTCCTCCTTCGATGCCGTCTTTATCTCGTCAAGAGAAGCGTAACGTCGTCCTTTCGTGTGAACCTCCAGTTTAGGGAACAAGAAAAAGTCACAGGGGGCCAGATCTGTGGAATACGTTGGCTGCTGCATCATTAGTGTGTTGTTTTTGGCCAAAAAKTCGCRCACAAGCAACGATGTGTGAGCAGGGGCGTTATCGTGGTGCAAAAGCTAATTTTTGTCACATCTTCTCGGCCTTCTGTTAACATTTTGTACCACCCATAAACGTTGCTTCGGTCCAAGGTAGCTTCTACGTATACCACAGTCAACATTCGGAATGCATCCGCGCACTTAATTTCGTTTTTCACACAAAATTTGATACATGTTCTTTGATCCATTTTTTTGAATAAGTAAAAATCGAAGACGATCCAAAACCCGTGCAAGCAAAGCAGCTGTCAACAATTAAATGAACATTCAAAATGGCCGAGCTCGTCGGCATAAGTGAGAGACATGAGTACCAACATAACGCCACAAAAAATTCAAAATTAGAATATACGTAACCAGCGAAAATTCAAAATTCGCGATATTTTTTGAACACACCTCGTACATATGTATGAATAAATATTTTGAATGATGAAAACCAAAAGTTATTTTGATAAATTTTGTTTCATCAGATTTGTAATACCCTTTACAAATAATATAGTGGTTATGTATATGCTAAAATGGTCCGTTCTGAACAATTTCAATGATTCGGGGAATTGTACACGTCAAATTTTGTGAAGGACGTCAAATACGAAAGTTTTCTACACAAGAGCTGGATTTTGGTCGTTCAGTTTGTACGGCAGCCATGAGCTTCTTGGAGAGAAAGAAGCGGAACGGCAGATGGACATGGCAAAATAGACTCAGCTCCTTGTTATTGTTGTAACAGTAGAATTCTGACGAGTTGATAGTCCTTGGCCGGATAAAAATCCGCTCCGTTCCGATTACGTAGACCCGACTGTCGTGGGAACGACTCAGCTGGTAATATTGTGCCCAAAAAATAAGGTGACATTGTATTTATTTTGAAAATTCTTTATTTATTCTTCCAAATCAATTTCATCCCCTTCAAAGTAATCGTAATCCCCTCCCGATGCAATGCACTTATGCCAACGGAATTTCCAGTCTTCGAAACACTGGTCGTAGTCACTTTCCGGGATGGCCTTCAGTTTCGTCTTCGCCGCGGCTTGAATGTCGTATAAAAACGGTGTCCCCGGACCGGTCTTTTGGGATTGGTGAACAGGCAGATGTCGCACTGCGCCAGATCAGATGAATACGGTGGTTGTGGAACGATATGGGTTGAGTTTTTGGCGAAATGGTCATTTAATGCAAATTCTTTGCTCAAAAAATTTCGACATCGCAAAAATGGAAAAACTCACTTTTAGCAGCTCACAAAACGACACGTATCTCAAACACTAATGAATATTTTGACATGAAATTTGACATAAATGTAACTGACAGTACTACCAACCTAAAAAAAAAATAATATAACACCTTCATTGAAGCATGATTTATCTATTGTAAAGGGAAAAAGTATTGTACACTTTAAAATGGATTTCATATCAATTTTGGGGAATTTACAATTTCATAATACACACTCATTTTCTATTTTTGATTATTAATAGTATTTAGTGTTCGATTTGCGGTTTGTGTCGATAGTGTGACACCATAGTTGAGTTGTAACTGCACACTTGTATAATTTTATGTAAACCATTTTCCTAAGCGTATGTATTTTACGACTATCCTCTAATTTCCTAAATTAGAAAGATTTTTTGCTCTCAGCCCTCCCATTCATATAATTTTATGCTGCAATTTGCAGTTAATATGGATTGCTCTGATTGTATTGTTGGGAAACTAGTTTTGCATTGAGTTATTTCTATTTTCATATTAAATGTGATCACATGGTGATTAATTCCAGGACTGCCTATTTCAGGCAATGTGTCTATGAATTTAAGAGAATTATTCCTGTGTCTGCAGATCGCTACGGAATCTGGAAGCATTAACTATGGAATTTCTGGTTCCATGTTACAGAACCGACATTTTGAATGATAGGCTTTACAAATATTGATTAGGACCTTCTTGAGCGTGTATAAGTTGCTCATAACAGCTGGAACCCATGTCAATAAAAGTTCTGGTCCAATCATTACTAGCTACACTTCCGTGCCGACGCACCCAGATAAGGTGGTCACAGACTGAATTATTAACGATTTAATATCGTAAAACGATATAGCTTTGAGGGCGGCTTGACTATTTCTTAGTATGACAATATGACATTCATTGCTTTAGTTGCTCCTAGAGGTTTATATCTGGAGTCGCAATATTCGACCATTCAGCCATGGATGTTACCCATTGCTTTGTGAAATTGTTTGCATTGAAATAACTTTATCTCCACCATACTCATTTGTTGTTATATGCAGCATGGTATGTTTTGCAATTTGATTGTTCACAATAGGCGTGGTGTAAGTTTCAAATGGATTTCCCGTGCTGCCGATGGCGAGGTGCTCAGCCAATACAAAGTTTGCATTTCGAGAGTAATTCGTAACTATGGACCTTCCAGACATGTTATATGTACATCGCTCTAATGATTCCTTGCTTACATCTTTAGGGTTTTCCTGCCAGTCATTTGAATATCAAGAGTGCTTTCGTGGATTCAACCAAGGCTATTCTACATGCTTGTTCTTCTGATGAAAGGGAGAACGGTTGACATTTAATTCAACTTTACTCCATCGTTTCCAGAGGTATTTGTTTTGTTACCCTTCCCTGAGACGATCTGTCAAAGCATCTTTAAGGTCTAAGAAGGACGTGATATACATCTCTCCGATATCTATCGAGCTTTAGAGACCCCAATATTATTCCACTATTCGGGTTGTATTCCCGTACGCAATGCTGTCTTTCATCACCTTGACAAAGCAAGGCAATAGGATATCCCCTCCCTTTTGTAGATGCCGTCTGCACATGGAGCCATGTCCTATCTGAAAGAAGCATGTGTGCACTTAATCTAGACAGCAGTGAGAGAAATTCTTATACTTATCTTATAGTCCGGTTCACTTAGCTTTGTTGAAAACTTAACTGACAGTTTTTTGAACCATAATATACTGTTTTGTCGCTCTCCCGAACCACAAATCGCTCCACCAGTGAATTCTACCTGTTCCTCTTAACTTATACTTTACAGTATCCCTAAAAATATTTCAGTTTGGGATATGAGTTGGCGGATCACGACCTAAATAACTTCGTCAAGGACATTTTCTCAAATGCTGACACCCTTCAACAAGTTCCTATCTAAATTAATATGAATAATTTAAAATGAGCCTCACTACTCTCTCTGATCACTAATCCGAACAGCGGTTATTGCATAAGATAGTTCTTTTTGCGACGTCAGAGCGGCCCAATGCGCATACTCTCCAGGAGTTCCTGTGTGGAGGGTAGTACTCTGCTTTCAACAGCAGCCGAATCAGCCACCTTTTTACCTGAAACATTGGATTTTTTGGTTTACAGTGACTTGTGACAATAGAATTGAACCTGTAGTTCAGAAAGAATCGCTCTCCTTTTTTTGTTCAGTGTTGAGCCTCTTTCCGGAGTACTCTATGCTGTTATCTAACATTTATCAGACGAAGATATTAATACGTATTTTCGACCATTAATATGCCCCACCATGAAATCGAATGGTTTGTGTGTTCCGTGCCATTTAAAATAGGCATATTTTGGGTCAAAACTTTTTCTTTAAAATGTTTTATAGACAGTTTATCCCGCATTAATTAATAACACTATATAACGCATTCATATTTTTAGGTGGAATGGACTCCAATACCTCCCCAACAGGACATGGTCTTCACACTCTCCAATGGTAGCCTAATGTTTTATCCGTTTTCAGCAGAAAAGTATAGACATGAAGTACATGCTACAGTTTACAGGTAGGCGTTGTATACATATAAACAATTATGAGATGGTACTGTAAGAGAATTTTCATATTCGCGCAAGATGTGAAACAAGAGTAATTTTGTTTAAATTGAAATGCATTAAGCCGCAATTTGTTTAGTAAATTAAACTAAGAAACACGGAAGCGGAAAAATAATGGGTAAAAAGGTAATGAAAGTAGCAATCTGAAGGGTTAAGCATTAAAGATTCAATACTAAGGCATATTCCGTTAGCAAATTAATAATCTACGGCTTTTCACATCCTAAAAAATGGTAGATTAGGACAAGCACACAGGAGCCACACCATTTCGCTCCCGACTGTAAGGCGGACTCCTACAGGCAAGAATGATGCCGAAAACAGAACACTAAGGAAGATGACACATCACCGAGAACGTACAAAAAATGAGTTGGTGCAAGTTCTTTCTCGTTCTCTGGTTGTATGTTCTCTGTGCAGTGAATAAGTGCAAGGATAGCAAGCAGAGAAAAGGGACAACGGGTCATGAAAGCTTTATTAACACGACATTTACAATTGTGCTAAAAGGATTGTTTATGAATATGTTTATTATACTATACTAGTTGGGAATTTACTTAATTTTTTTCTATTTAATTTAAAAGAATATTTGCGAAAATAGCTTAAGAGAAAAGTTTCTCGTGAAAATCGAATTAGCACGGAAAATTCATGTAATAACACACTTCGTGTCTAATTAATTCTTTATAGTTTCCTTATTGCTTGATACAAGTATTTTGTCTTATGTTTCCTCTTCTTAAAAAAAGTTTCAAAACGTAAAATTGTAGTGCTGGTCAAATAAGATTCTTACCTGATTCCTTTATTTTACTTTTAATATTTATAAATGTAAATTAAGAAATCTTGTTGGTACGATACTGAGCAGGGAGGTGCACGTACGTGGGGGTAAATATACTTTAACCTAAAAATATCATATATAGATAGTTAATTTCTTTTCCTTCGTTTATGTACGTACATACATACTGATTTCTGCATTTTGATTTTTATTTCACAAAGTTGTCAACCAAAAATATACAGTGCAAGTTCATGATGAATATGTGATGTCTGGCAACACGGCTGTTTTAAAGTGCCAGGTGAGTATAATAAAACCAACTTCATCCTCGCAGATATGTCAAATTGAATTTAAGTCTACGTTGCACTCAATACTACTTACTGTACTTATTGTAGTTAAGTCAATACTTTAGACCTGTGACTGAAATTCAATGTCCTACTATGCATATACGAGGGCTGCTCTATATATTTCTGGCCTAATAATGAAAATAGGAACATTTATCAACGAAAAGGTTTTTATCGTTTTTCAAAATATTCTGCATCAAGATTTATACACTTTTGCATGCGCTCAAACCAATTCTCGAAGCACTTTTTCCACTCCGATTGAGACACCTGCAAAACATGGTTTTTGAACGCTTCAACAGCATCTTCTGGCGACGAAAATCGTTGACCACGCGTTATTTTCTTGATGTGTGGGAATAAAAAGAAGTCATTGGGTGCCAAGTCAGGGCTGTACGGCGGATGACCCATCAATTCGACGTTTTGGCCGGTCAAAAAGGCGCTGGTTTGAGCCGACGTGTGAGAGCTCGCATTGTCATGGTGCACAATGATTCGTCTTCTCTTGTTCGTTTTTCGAATTTCTCCGAAGACTTCAGGCAAACAAATGGTGGTGTACCACTCAGAATTGACTGTCCTGCGTTGCTGAAGCGGAACAGTCGTCACATGACCAGTTTTGCCGAAGAAACAGGCGACCACTTGCTTCGAAGTGCTTCTTCCAACTTTCGTTGGATTTGGCTCGTCTTGGAAGACCCACACAGTCGATTGCTGTTTTGTTTCGTACTCATACGCATAGATCCATGATTTGTCACTTGTGGCGATCTTATAAACGTCTTTTGATTGTCAAATTGTGCGGGATCCAACGAGAACAAACCTTTTTTACGGCCAGATGTTCATGCAATATCGAATGTATGCTAGTGGGAGAAATGCATAGGCATGCCTCTATCTGAAGGTATGTTACATGACGGTCTTGCATTATCAGTTCACGTACGGCATCAATGTTTTCTGGCACAAGGGCTGTTTTTGGACGACCTTCACGGAATTCGCCTTTGAGCGAGCGTCGGCCACGTTTGAATTCGTTGTACCAGTTTTTTACAGTGCTATAGGATGGTGCTTCATAGCCAGATTTTAGTTCATCGATGCACTTTTGTCGTGATAATCCACGTCGAAAGTTGTGAAAAATGATCGCACGAAAATATTCACGAGTTAATTCCATTTTTTGGTCGAGATGAATTTTTTAATTCCCTGTAAATAAAACAATTCACTATTAAATGACAAAACGTTCTGAGTGATGTTATGCTAAAAAATGTCAAACTTTCCTATGGAAATGTCAGATTGCACCTAGTGTTGCCTAGGCCAGAAATATATATAGCAGCCTCCGTATTAGTACAGTACATAGTTCGAAAATTATTAATATTTCTTCAACTTTTGCAGGTGCCCAGCTACATGTCTGAGTTTGTTATGGTGACAGCTTGGGTTCAAGACACTGGCATGCATCTCTATCCCAACACGGACATTGGCGGAAAATATACAGTGTTATCAAATGGCGAACTCTATATAAATAACGCGGGGACAAATGACGCATTTAAGAGTTACACCTGCCGCACTGTGAATCGACTTACAGGTAAACATCATAATGATGTATGTAGGTGGTGTGACATGACAGAGAATTCAAATAGTCAGTATGTTAAACAAGATACTCAGATGTAGACTATAGAAAACGATAAAATATGAAGCCAATATTTTCATTTACGTTTTAGTTATCTTTTGTAAAGTTAAATATGCTGAGAGGATTCAGATATAAAATCTACTGGCAACGCTGTACGAAAAATAGAAAAGCAAAATGTGCTGCCCGCGCAAAATAAAATATATTTAATTATGTAATATGGTATACCTATGCAGGTGATCTATGTATGTTACCGGTAGGGCTGCGAAGAGATAGTTCATTAATTTTTTAATATGTTTAGGTAAAAAAAATAATTGATGTGACTCGCAATATAAAAACTTATTCATGTGTGCTTGCTTACTTCATTAATAGCTTATTATATTTAATTCCAGGTGAAATTCAAATATCTACATATCCCGGACGCATCATTGTCACAGAACCAAAAGGTATGGTGCAACCGCGTATAAACGTCGAAAAGCACTCACTTCGACATGTTATGCTTAATGGACAAACAACACTGCCTTGTATCGCTCAAGGTCATCCTGTGCCAACTTATCGGTATGTATGCATTAATACATATATACTCCTTATGTAGTTAAAGTATTAAGTAATGCAATGAATGCACCTCAAACTTAGTGCAGCCTCATCAACTAATGGTTTTTATAACAGTAGTTGAGTCACTGTTTATAGTAAAGGCTACAAAATTCAGTATTTTGTAATCAATACGTCGAATTTGGAACATGAAACAGAAATAAAACTATTACGCAGAATTTATTAGTGATTAATTATTTCCCTAAGTTGATTTTTTTTTTTTTTTTGCAAACACCCTCCGCTTGAGATTCCTGAAGCTTCTTATTGCACTAAGTTCTTCCAAGGAAGATAAAAAAGTTAACTGCTTCGATTGCAGATTCAGCTGCATAAGTCTTGACTGCTCTACTGGCTGTTTTTGTTATTCTTAATTTCGATTAAATTTCTGACCTATTACAATGAAACTTCGCTTATTGTTTTATTATCTTGTTCTCTGCTATTTTTTCAGCTGGTTCAAGGAGGAAAACGAACAGCTATTGCCTCTGCAGTTAAGTGAGCGCATTACAATCGTTTCTGCGGGATTGTTAAAGATAGCAAAGGTAATATGAAAAACTGAACGGTAACATATTTCTAAACGTAGCTGCTATGCTACTTATGTATTGTAACAAGAAATATTTAACAATGAATTTAGCTAAATCAAATTTCTATACAGTAAATTATACATATATCCGTATTTACATATTTCAATGGATTTTAAAGTAAACTCAATACATGTTTTTAAGGTTTTCTAATAAGAGTGATATGATTTTTTAAACAAAAAAAGAGTACTGTTTTCTATTATTTTGTGTGAAGTACAATCGATACATTTAGGTTCTGAATATAAAATCGTTCAAATGGCCTCCATGACTTTTTTTATTAGAACGAACTCGATGAACCCAATTTTCGAGTACTTTTTCCACTAAATCAAGTCGTCGTATGCCATGAATACCACGAATATAACTGCAACAAACTGTATATTTAGGTGAATGTATTAGTTGGTCATAAATAATTTTTGGATTTTCTTCGCACTAGAATTCACAGTTTTGTTTATTTTTTCGCACCAGTCAGATGAAAGTGAGCCGTATCTGAAAAGGTGATTTTCTTAATTATTTATTTTTTTTTTTTTTGATAATTTTGATAACAAAATTGAATAATTTGTACACGTTTAAGCTTGCGTCTATTTTTCCATGATGAAACTGTAAATATTCCTGAATACAATGAAAAAAAAATATTACAGACCATGACATATTAAACTTGAGCGAAACGACACTTATTATAGCGAAACCCGACTAATTCATGACGCTAAACTCCACTGTGGTAAAGAAAACCGATTCACTTAATTTCATTGATAAAATCAACTGTTAAGTGTTTAACCGATTTGGTTAATTTTTAGCGCCAGAATACTCAGAAAAAAAGATACCTCTTCTAAGACACACTATTTGTGCTAAAATTTATTTCGTTATCTTCTTTGATTTATGAATTGTAAAAGTGAAAGTAAAAGAATCTGATGGGAAAAGATATCTCAATCAAGATATCACATCCGTCATCATCATTCATTCGTCTCATCATTCCGAACACTTGACATTTCTATATCTTTATCGATTTCGATCAGTTTTAGGTTATACAGTTTGTAATAAAATATTTTCTAATTTATATCATTATTGATAACTATTGTTTTTTTTATGAGACAATGTGTTTGAATTTTTCTTTTGTTGTTTGCGACGTATTTAAATATACGTACTTTTTAGGAACATATTGCAATACAAAATATTTTCAAGCAATTTTTTGCAATATTGTTATAATATGCACATAAATGTATGTTGTAAAAGTATTAAAGTATTAAATTTAAATAGTTATTTCTGTACTAATCTATTCTAGGCTCGTCTAGAAGATAGTGGAAAATATCTTTGTTGGGTTAACAACACTGCCGGCGAGGAAACAATTCAAGTGTCATTAACGGTAACGGGTAGGTAACATAATAATACAATCATTGAAATGGAATACTAATTTGTAGTGTAGAAATGTTGATGCAACACATATCAGTGTGGTGTAATTGCTATGAAGATTCCTTTACTAAAAACATAACAATGATTTTACAACGTTATTGACGGAATTTGAATTAATCACATTATTTTTTACATAGCACCCTTAACAGCACATCTGCAGCCTCAGGTACAAACAGTGGATGTGGACAAGGATGCGCAATTTCAATGTATAGTGTCCGGACATCCCGTGCATGATGTCAATTGGTTACATGACGGAAAACCAATATTGCGTGACAATCGAGTAGAGGTAAGTTAAATACAAATATATGACAGTTATATTATTGCGCTTTGAACCAACAGTGTAGAGAGTTGTTCAACTTTTTGTTTTCGTTGTCAAATGATATCACAGATGGGTCCGGTTATCTCGGAGGATAACATAACAAAGACCCTAATCTCGTATTGATAGACTATTGATTTAACGAACGTATTAAATTTAATATTTATTAGACATAAGAATTCCGTCTGAGCTGGGTGGTGAAATCACTCTCCAGCGTATAATCGTGTAGCAGCGGACGAAACAGTAGAAAGAGGGTGGCTACCGTTTTCTACGTGTGATCTTAATTGACTATCTGGACAATGGTACAATAAATGCCGTAACATGAGTCTGATATAAAGTGTGTATTAGGAAATTTTAGCTGAATGACGAGTTTGTCACTAATACTAGGGTCTATTTTTTATAGTTTTGCTTCAATTCTGCCTAGGCCTTCAAGTTGTCGAAATATACTTATTAAAGCACTCAGATGACAAAAAGAGTATCATTCAACTTGCAAGACATCTTGAAGAATTTAAGTTCTTATATAATGATTGTGCTAGACTTTATGCCATATATGTATTTATGTATGTCGACGAACATATTTTCTAAATAATTTTTGGTTTAATAAATCCTGTGCAGCCTTTTCATTAGTTGCTTTATAACTTATGTAGGGACTTTCGAACAGAGAGAGATGAGAGGTATTGCCGAATGCAAATAACGAATTAGTGGACCTCTGTGTCTATGGCTCACTTTTTACAAACAAGTACATTGTCACTACGGAAGAGCGGCACTTTAGTGATTAAATAAGCATCATGCTTCACTTGTGAATATATTGCCAGGCTGTCAAGGATAACCTCCAGAGCCTTAGTTGACGTCATTTTTATTGCGGTCTTAATCCACGGTAGATAGTAAGTAGGCCCGTTGTACTTTTTCGATAATGACGTCCACCATACCACTGCGTCATATGTTGTATGTATAAAATGTTCGGTTACAACCGAATTTAGCCATTCATTATTCGTCTAATTGGTAATAAATAGCATTGAAAAAATATAAAAAATATATTAAAATTATTACTTAAATTTTACAGATACTAACTGACCCACCAAGACTGATAATTAAGAAAGTGCAAAAGGACGATCCTGGGATGTATCAGTGCTTTGTTTCGAATGAGTGGGAGCAGATTCAGTCGACAGCTGAACTACAACTGGGAGGTAAGCTGTGTGATTAAATAAAATAAAAACAAGAAAAAACGATAGCTTCGGAAGCTAATATACCGTTCACAGGTGCATTTCTTTTAGTATGCTATAGTAATCCGATCTGAACAATTTTTTCGAAGATTATATTATTTCCTTAAGCAGTAATCAATGTCAAATTTCGTGAAGATACCACGTCAAATTTGAAAGTTTTCCGTACAAGCCTTTGATTCCGACCGATCGGTTTATATGGCTGCTATATGCTATAGTGAGCCGATCTGAACAATTTCTTCCGATATTACATTGTTACCTTAGAAAATAATCTAGAATTTCGTAAATATATCTTGTCAAATGCAAAAGTATTCCATACAAGAAATTGATTCCGATCGTTCAGTTTGTATGGCAGGTATATGTTATAGTGCTCCGATATCGGCAGTTCCGACAAATGAACAGCTTCTTGAAGAGAAAATTTCAAAACGATATCATAAAAACTGAGGGACTAGTTCGTATATACACAAGCAGACAGACGGTCATGGCTAAATCGACTGAGCTCAACATACTGATCATTTATATTATATATATACTTTACAGTGTCTCCGACGCTTAATTCTGTTTGTTACAAACAAAATAATAATAAGTATGCACAAATATAAATGACACCATCTCTTGCATACATTTTATACATAAGAAAAGTTGAGTTATTAATTTAAGGATTTAAATATTATATTAGGTTGTCAAAGAAGTCTTGCGGTATTTTCGCTAGTTGGCGCTGAGGGCGCGTAGTTCTAGTTTTATTCGTCGCATCGAGACATGCTATACCTTTTTGAAAGCTCATTTCATGCGCTAACACGTGTCTGATTGATTGTCGTTTCTTTTAAGTCGTTCGTGAGTTATAGCGTTGCAAACATGGAGCAAAATAAAGAGAAAATACGGCATATTTTACAGTACTACTACGATAAAGACAAAAATGCATCTCAAGCCGCCAGTAAAATTTGTGCAGTTTATAGACCCGATACAGTTTCCATTTCCACTGCACAACGATGGTTCAACGTTTTCGTTCTGGTGTAGAGGTGGTCGAAGATGCGCCACGCTCCGGAAGGCCTGTCGTCAAAAAATGCGATAAAATCGCTGAATTGGTTCGAAAGAGACCGGCATAGTAGCAGCCGTAGGATCGGTCAAGAGCTAAGCATGAGTCATCAAAAACAATTCTATGAACAATTGAAAATTCAATAAAAATACCGCAGACTTTTTTGACAACCTAATATAACATCTTTCATGTTCAGATATTGACTAATCTTGCTCAAAAAAACCTATTCTTATACTATATATTTTTTATACAAGAAAATAAACTTAGTGTACTCATTACTTAAGATGAGGGATAAATAATTTTTGCTCATAGGATTAGGTTATGACGGATGATCTGTAGCTATGAAACCAGTATCTTGCTGGAAGATCTAATGCTCTCCATAGAAAAGAGTAACTGCTTTACCACGCATTCTAAAGTATCCTGATGATACACTTTTGCCTCAGCTTAAGTATTATTTTATAGAAGTGAAGTAGTCTATCTTCTTTGCAGAAGACCATTACAGCAACTGGATTGTGACCAGGAATATATCTTGTTTTGTATCTTTGAAAGTTTTTGCATAGATTTTGTCGATTTTTCTCATTGAAAACTTATTCAACAGTAAAACATTTGTCATCCATAAAAAGGATACTTTCATTGCCATGGACCGTCATCCGCCGTGTCATCGCGAATAAATCTTAACATTGACCTGGAAATGTCCCTTTTCCTTGACATAATTTTCTGATTTCTAAGGGGTTGTTTAACAATTTAAATTAGTCTTCGATTTCTAAAACCATAAATTTTCAAGATCCTCTGTTTTTAATTATCTTGATACAAGTTACGCATGTATATATCTAGATTCAATTATGTACATATGACATAGTGTTCTTATGCTTCACAATTTTATATATGGTTTTATTATTTTACAGATGCATCTCCAGAATTACTTTATTGGTTTTCGGAGCAAACATTGCAGCCCGGACCCACTGTGTCGTTAAAGTGCGTAGCAACTGGAAATCCTTTACCGCAATTTACATGGTCACTCGATGGATTCCCGGTAAATATGCTTAATGCAAATCTCATAATTAAGACCAGAATATAAATTATAAGGAAGGATCCCTGCCATAAAAGCTCATTAGACGCTTGGAGTCAGCTTTAACACTTACATGTAGATGGATGACAACTTCATCAGCTATAGGCACTGGGAACCACCTTTTTCATGCTAGATGGGGAGAAAGTAGTATTTGTGTAAATTATTATTTCGATAACGTGCAGCAAAATGAAAAAAATCAGATAGAAACTGAAACTGTTATATACGGGAAGTAGGCGTAGTTATAATTCGATTCCCTCTATTACACTACCACTTAAGAACTTCACAATATTGTAGTGCCATAAATTTGGTTGGAATTGGCCGAGTATTTACTGAGGTACAGGATTTTATATAATGTTAGGTAAAAACGCTCATTGAGTAATTAAGTAATGTCATTATAACATGTGAAATTTATTTAGTAGATTATCGCACTTGTAATCGTCTTCAACATTTTAATATTCTGTTATAAAGTCATATATGTATACGGTTACGGCTTAGGTGCCTATACTGCAATTTGACCTAATTATTTCAAACAAAATAGTGATAAACCTAACTGCATTATTCAATGGGTTTCCTTCTAATGTAAACCATTTCTATTTCAGATTCCGGACAACTCTCGATTTTTGGTTGGTCAATATGTAACCATTCATGATGACGTTATAAGTCACGTTAACATATCAAACGTCAAAGAGGAAGATGGCGGCGAATATGCTTGCACAGCACAAAATTCAATTGGGAAGTATGTATTTTCAAATAACGGTAATCGGAATTTCATTCATGTTTTGATCAATGATTATATATTTTCGGACGGCTTTCATTTTATATTTTTGCATATAGAAATTTTTTGCTATTAATATTATCAATCGTTTTTATTTCTGATTAGTCAGATGGTTCGAAGACGGTCGAGGTTCCAATACCTAATACAATGCAGAATTTATGTATGTAGAAAAAATAATCAAATATCCTTTATAATATTGCAGAGTATCACATAGTGCTAAGGTGAATATCTACGGGCTTCCATTTATTCGAGAAATGCCTAAAATAACTGGTATCTCAGGCTCAGATTTAATTGTGACGTGCCCTGTAGCAGGTTATCCAATAGATAAAATTCATTGGGAGCGTGGTAATTATATTTTTTTATTATTTATTAGTAAAGATAGAGTATTATTACTTAGTAAAGTGAAACTTTTTACCTGTTGTCTCAAATATGTTCGCTCGTATGACGCATGTCTCATTAAATTTATTTTTCATAAGTTACGTATGGGTATTATTTGTTTAGACATGTGTTTTTCTATGAGGCAATGCCTTGTACGGAGTTGTTCTTTTTGATAGCTGTTAAAGCTTTGCCATTTCGTAATAAACAGACGTACGCCGAAAAAACGTGTTCGAATCGTGAAAATTTATTACCAAAAAGTGGTGGCCACCGATCCCGATTTTCATAAGATATTTTGTTCATCGATATAGCTCACTTTGATTGAATGGGTATGTTTAGAAACGAAATTGTCCCATTTAGAAGGACGATAGTCCACAACACGTTATTTAGACGCCGTTAAACTCTCAAAAGTCACTGTTTGGTGTGCTTTACGGACAGAGGGAATCAATGGGGAACTATAAAGCTAATATTAATGACTTTTGGAGGGATGCTGATGTGGACGGCATTTGGTTTTAACAAGACGCCGCTAAATGTCATACAGCCAACAAATCAATCAATTTATAGAAGAAAATAATTGGTGAGCGGATAATGTCGCGTGTAGAGCGGCCGCTGTAAAATTTTTATGGTTCTTCTCTACGCAGGTAAGCCTGAGTCGATTGACACCTTGGAAGATAATATGCGGTGCTTATTACCTACCGGATCCATTTACTGCAAAAAAATTGGCCTTTCGGCTGAAATTTATTCGAGCCAAACGCTGTGGTACGGCAAAACCTTATATTCACAGTAAAGTTAAATTCTTGGCCATATTAATTATAAGCAAATCGCCTTCTCGAAACCACATACTTATATATTAAAAACACCCTCTATATGCACAATGAAATACAACTGTTGAAGAACATTATATCGACCTCAGTTGTTATAATTCATATAAAATGCTATCGAAAATTTAGCGATTTCGCTAAAACTGGAGGTGCAGGTGCAACTTTGTTAAACTTCTACTTATGTGTTTAAATTTATCCTTCCATGAAAATTGTCAAATCTAAACAACTATTACCTTGTTCCGAATACTATTTCCAATTTCGTTAATATGTAACTTTTTCTATTTATTTTTAATTTTGGCGAAATTCAACGCGTTCAACAGATGGTCAAACACTGCCTATAAATCGCAGGCAGCGCGCTTACAATAACGGTACTCTAATAATAGAGCAACTGCAGCGACTCGAGGATGCTGGAACTTACACATGCATGGCTCAAAATAAACAGAAGCAAACGTCGCGTCGTAATGTGGAAATACAAGTTCTAGGTAAATGCTAATTAAAGGAAACGAACATCAGAGCACATTATTTCGAAAAAAAAAAAATAGAAAATGAAAAAAAAAAACAGATAAAAACCATTTAAAATAGTTTTAAGCTATCTTTAATCAGTTGTTTTGTAAAGTTGATAGAAAAACTATATATTGTGCTATATGTATATAGGTCTATCTATATTTATATACATATAAATATGTATGTACATAAATTTTTTTTATGTAGTTCCCCCAAAAATTATGCCAATTCAGGCTATGACGAATATGTTGCGTGAAGGCATGCGTGCCGCGATTTCCTGTCAGATACTGGAAGGAGATTTGCCAGTAAGTTTTCGTTGGGAACGTAATGGAAAACCATTAATAGGAACAGGGTAAGTACAATAATAATAAAATCAATATCTTGCGAACACTAAAAGCAGCTTTGTTTAATTCGCTTGAAGAAATGAGGTATTTCGTCGATTGGATGAATACTCTGCCAGTTTAGTGATAGAACATATTACCTCGGAACACTCGGGCAACTATACATGTATTGCCAGTAATATTGCCGGTTTGGAACGCTTCACTGTACCGCTTACAGTTAATGTCCCTCCAAAGTGGGTATTGGAACCAAAAGATTCCAGCGCGCAGGCTGGACAAGATGTTTTACTACATTGTCAGTCTTCCGGATATCCAAAACCAACAATAACATGGAAAAAGGCAATCGGTCCAACACCGGGAGAATATAAAGACTTTTTATATGAACCTACAGTACAACTCTTTCCGAATGGCACGATATACTTTAAAAAGATAAATAAGGAGTCACAAGGGCACTTTCTCTGTGAGTCAAAAAACAACATCGGCTCAGGTGTCAGCAAAGTCATTTTTCTAAAAGTGAATGGTGGGTAAAAAATTTAGTTTAGCTCTAGAAAATAAATTTTTAAAAATGTTTCTATTTTTTCATAACTTTTAAAATATTTACTTGGTGCATTGCTGATTTATTACTATAATTAATCTAATATTTTATCAAATTATGATAAAAAATATTTATTTGTAATTAGAATAGTTTTTAAATAATAAGAAATTTTATAATTTTAGTACCCGCTCACTTTCAAACCAAAACTAAGCAGATTTCAGTGGCGAAAGGAAAGCAGGTGCACATTCAATGTAATGTTCAGGGTGATAATCCTATCGACATCAAATGGAAAATGCACGCAACACAGCAGTATTTAGATGAGTCACTCGATTCCAGGTAAATTAACCAAGTGAAAATTATATAGCCTTACAAATTATTTAAGTTTTTCTACAGAGCTAAATATACATATGTATAAACACTAAAAATGCTCATACCTGTACTATTGTAATTCTTACTTTTTTTATGAGTTGTCACTCGAATTATTGTTTCCCTTGAATTTGATGGTTTAAATTTGCTTTTATTTCTTCATCACATTCGTGGTGACTTGCGACTGGGCTCTAACCCATTGTCATATCAGTAAGTTCCCCTTTCTCCTTGTTCCTATAGAAGTGTCACATTTTTACATTTACTTGCTGTCTATTGACTCGATCCCTTATAAAAAAAAAATAATAATACAATAAAAAGAGTAAAGATAACTAGGAGAATTGATATCAGGATATATGTCTGTTTCTTAAAACAGATGGACATAGATAAAACGTTATAAGTATATAACAAATGGTCGGGCTTCCTCTGAGTTAGTACAAAACTGTATTTATAAAACTCTTAACGCTAAAACTTTCATTGTTATTCATGCACATTTTATTCTCAGGTATACAATTCGAGATCAAATATTAGATGATGGGATGGTCTCTGAATTGGGCATTTCACATACGTATCGACAAGATACTGGGATTTATATATGCCAAGCTAGTAATGCATTTGGCCAGGTAAGTGTTATGCAATTTAAATATTCATAAAGTGTACATGTATTTGTGATGGTGACAAATTTGATGTCTATTTATGTGAATATCCCGAGCTGTACCATCATAAAGATTATTGAAATTTCTTAAATTTCGTATGTCAGTTGGTGTTATTTCACATCGACTGGAATGCAATTTATGATTTTAAAATATAGAATTTTCGTGATATGTTAAAGAAATGTTATTTCTTTATAGGATGAAATGTCGATTCAGTTAATTGTACAGGAGGTTCCAGAACAACCGAAAAACTTGCGTATTAACTCACAACAATCACGCAGTCTGCAACTAACTTGGAGTCAGCCCTTCGCTGGAAACAGTCCAATCGAAGGATATCATATATACTATAAACAAATATCTGGTAAGAGAAAGAATTTTTAACAAAGTCAAACAATAATAAAAAATAAATTTTGGTATTAGTGAAGCATGTTTTTTAGGTATGTGGTTATCAAGAAGAAATCCAATGATTATAATTTTATATTATAACTCAGAATTTAGCTTTATTATAAAGATACGGGGTTGTCATTATATTTTAAAAATACTTTTGGCCACTGGCTCGAATGAATACCAACTGAGACGATCTAGTAGATAATGCGCTCACCAACAGTTTCCTTCAATAAATTGATTGCTTCGTCGGCTGCATGTCATGTAGCGCCGTTTTCTTGGAACTAAAGGTCGTCCACATCAACATCCTCCAATTCGAGCGAGATATAGTTGGTAACCATAGATCCATAGCGTTCCCGATTGACTGTAACATTATTGCCGTCTTCAGTTTTGAAGAAATTTGGATCAGTTCTCTGCTTGAGCATACGAATCACACTTTGTATTATCGGCTAATTGAGTTTTAATAATGGATATTCAAACCAAAAATATACACTAAACACTAACTAAGATTGGTTATTTCCTTATTTTTAATATATTTAAAAAAAAGCATCATAAAATATTGTGTATATAAATTTGCATTTTAATTAATTTTTCAACATAATATTTTACGTAAATAGATATTTGGCAAAATGCAGAGCATATCGCGATCACGGGTGGACAAACGGTTGTTAATATACAAAACTTACGTCCAGCTAAAGCCTACCATTTTCGGATGACTTCTGAAAATAAATTGGGTGCGTCCGAGTATTCAGAGGTCGTACAAGTAACCACACTGGAGGAAGTTCCTTCGGGACCACCGTTGAATGTGCGCGCAGAAGCAAAGAGTTCGACTGAGATATCAGTCACTTGGGATGCGCCAGAACGCGATCATTGGAATGGAATATTGCTTGGCTACTATGTTGGCTATCAGATGTCATTGTCACCTGAAGACAAAGAGGTGAATCCTACCCAAGGGTTTAGCTTTAAAACTGTGGAAGTGCGCTCACATTTTGGGGGTGAAACTGTACTGAGTAATTTAAACAAATATACACAGTATCATGTTATTGTACAAGCGTACACAAGTCAAGGTAGTGGGCCACCGAGCAGAGAGATTGCCGTGCAAACAATGGAAGATGGTAAGTGAAAGAAAAATACGTAACGGTTGTGAAAAAATTTTCACATATGTGCTTTTTATGTTATTTCCGTATTACAATGACAGTTAAGGCAACCTGATAAACAGAAAATATTATATTTCACATCTTCGTTCAGATGTGAATCATTATCTCACTATAATTTTCTAGTTAAATCATGCTATCGGTTTCCGATATGAGAACCAATCAGATGGATATTAAAATGTTGTGAATGATGTAGATTTGAGCAATTTTTAAACAAACAACAACCTAAATCAACATGACGATTCGGTATCAATACAATGCATATTGGTAGAGAATCTGAGTGAAAATATTCTCATTCATTATGCGGTATTAGGCGGTTGAGGCTTTTGCAAGGCCCGACCTGGTCACCTTTTTGTGTGGTATTTTATCAAGGAATGACTTACTTTAGAAAATTCATGTTCTGTAAGTGTTGTAATTCGTGGGCTTCGCTCAACTTACGGTCAACATAATCGGCCTACTTGATGTACTATTCGCAATACCATTACCCATTTTAAGACCCAGCCTTCATTATAGGATAATATTCGACGGAACAAACCACGTCCAGCACGCAGTGAAGAAAATATAGCAGCCGTAGCTGAGAGTGTACACGAAAACCGTGGAGAGTCGATTCGGCGCCGTTCGTATTAAACCGGACTAACGTATGGAACGACTTCCCGCATTCTACGTCGAGATCTTAAATTGAAAGCATACAAAATATATCTTGGCCGGTCGACCTTCCCAAGTGCCATTGCTTCGTTCTATAGGTCATAGTAAAGTTTCAAGAAGATCTGACGTTTTCGAGCCAAAATTTGTTCAGCAATGAGTTCCATTTCTGGGTATATAAACAAGCATTTTGGACGAAGGGCAACCTGGAGAGATTCAAGAGCTGCCATTGCATCTAGAAAAAACAACGGTTTGGTGTGGTTTGTGGGTCGGTGGAATCATTAGTCCATATTTCTTTAGAAATGATGATGGTGAGTACGTAATCGTCAATAGCGACCATTATTGCACTATATTAAGCAACTATTTGATGCCTGAAATTGAAGCTCGTGATATTGGCAACATGTGGTTTCAACAAGACGGCGCCACTTCCCACACATGGCATCAATCAAAGAATTTATTGTTTTGGGTCGGTCGATTGGCCGCCAAGAACGTGTGATATCATATCGTTAGACTTTTTCCTGTGGAAAAATGTAAAGTCTTAAGGTATATGAGGACAATCCCGCTTCGATTTAGGTCTTGGGCAATACATCATGCGTGTCATTCGCCAGTTATCAGTCGAAATACTCGAGCGAGTCATCGAACATCGGATTCAACGGATGGACCATCTAAGACGTAAAATAAATGCCAAAGAATGTTCTTTCGAACGATAATAACCATTCCCCATTAAATTTGAAGTTTATGTTTTTTCGAAATGGATCACCCTTTATTTCGTGGTGTTTTATGCACAAATCACAAAGAACTTATCGTTTTTGTAAGAACTCCGCTGAAACTTGAAAATTGTATATTTGGAACAAATGTAGATTAAACATAATAGAACAAAGAATTGGTCAATATTTCAAATGAAAAACTGTTATTTCGTTCTTTTTTAGTGCCTTCTTCACCTCCCGAGAGTCCTCAATGCGACGTGCTTGGATCAACTTCAATTTATATAACATGGTCACCACCGGATGTTGATGGACAAAATGGCAAGATCAAAGGATACAAAGTATTTTTTATATCTGTTAATGAATTATACGGTAATTAATTTAAAGCTTAAGTTATCCGAGCGATATACTTTAAGTTGAATTTCAACATGTAGTTGAAAGCATTAGCAATTTAAAGATCGCCTGATTTTAATTCGTTCATAATTCAAATAACATCTTGATTGCATATAAATAATTATGTACATTTTTATCTATAATATCTTATCGATAATTGATATATTTTTATATCCATATCAAGAGACGGATCCCGATGTTGTGAAGTCAACCAATCAATATGTTACCATAGAAAACTTACGCAAATATACTAATTATACGGTGTGGGTACTCGCATATACCAAAATTGGAGACGGTACAAAAACGAAGCCATTTCACTGTCGCACACATGAGGATGGTAAAATATTACGATCAATATCTTTCATTTTTATTAAATAATAATGTTTATGAATTCGCACAGTACCTTCGGCGCCCCAAGCCATCAAAGCGATTCCTGCATCCAGCACTAAAATCATTATTTCTTGGCTGCCACCGGAATTTCCTAATGGAGATATTGTACATATATATGTGGTATTTTATCAAATGCAGATAATTTTATTTGACTAATTCACTTTCAGACCGGCTACACTTTCTATATGTCCATGTTGGAGGGGGGTCGTGAAGAAGGCACTCACAAGCGCATACTTGGTCCCTTTGTTGAAATGCACGAGACTCAACGCACACAAGAATCCGCCACATATCAATTCTGGTTAACAGCATCTACGAAAATTGGTGAGGGTGAGAAAACACAAGTTGTTACTGTGCCACCGAACAACAAAGTGCCCGCACGCATTGTATCTTTTAGTCAACGTTTAATAAGTCCCTGGAAAGAGCATCTGGAATTGCCTTGCCTCAAAGTTGGTTCACCAGCGCCCGTCACAATTTGGCGGCAAGATGGTCATAATATGGATACGAACTCCCGCAAGGTTATTGCGAAGAACGGCACTCTTTATATACGTGAATGCCAGTCTAGCGACGCTGGTAATTATACGTGCAGTGTCGAGAATACATGGGGAAAGGATGAGATTATCTATAACATTGTTATAAAAGTACCACCAGAAGCACCTAACTTAACGGTGGTGAATAGTTATACAGATAGTTTACATCTTGAATGGATGGACAATAGTCACGGTGGAAGCCCTATTCTTGGTTATGTAATAAATTATAAGCGAGAAAATGGTGATTGGGAGGAATTGCAGGTGGATGCTAAAACAAACTCACATTTATTAACAAATTTATGGTGCGGAACACGTTATCAACTCTACATAACTGCTTACAACAAAATCGGTACAGGTTTGCCGTGTGACATTGTTAATTCTTACACGAAAGGAAATCCACCAGTACAACCGAAACATTCTCAAATGATCACGAACAATTCGACCAGTGTCACATGCTGGCTGGATTCATGGGGCGATGGAGGTTGTGGCATTTTATACTTCATGATTGAGTCTAGGGTGTTTGGGAGGTAAGTTATTAGCAGTAATAAATACAAAATGCGCAGAGCAAATTTTGTAATTACCTAGATAACGAATTTAATTAAAAAAAAAAAAATTTAAAATTTGAGGCAGTTTGTAGGTTTATATCTTATAGTCATCGATATAGATATTACATACATAGTTTTGAATACTAAAAATAATAATAAAAATTATTTACAAATAATTATTTCACAACAAACTTATTTTAATCTGTCTCTTATACACATCTAGATGTGTATAAGAGACAGATATAGATATTACATACATAGTTTTGAATACTAAAAATAATAATAAAAATTATTTACAAATAATTATTTCACAACAAACTTATTTTAATAACACTACGGGGAGGGTATTCTCACTTTAATTAAATTTTGGCTTTATTAAAAGTGACTTTTCTCTGCAAAACCGTGGAAATTAACAGCAAAATTTTTATTGAACTTGTTTTCATTTCCAACCATATATTTAAATAAAAAATTGTATAAGTAAAATGTAATGTTGTTTTTGTCATCAATTAACAGATCCCAATGGAATGTTATTTCAAATCATATTCCTCCGACTGAACGCATTTATACGGTTAGTGATTTAGTTCCTGGCACTAAATATCAACTAAAAGTTACAGCTCACAATAATGCTGGTTCTACAACAGCAGTGTACAATTTTACAACACTCTCATCACAAGGAGGTAATCACAAATTAAAGCCCTTATATTTACATCTAGGTTTATATTAATAAATATTCGGTTTCAGTTATATATTCCACAGATCACGCGAATCCTGTGTCTCACATGAGTGATGGTCCCTTTTATGCGAACTTTAAGGTGCTACTTCCTGTATGTCTTTCAATGTTTATGCTATTAGGTATAATAGCAGCGGTGCTACTTATTCGTAAACGAAGTAAGTATGGAAGTTATATTCATTTCACTTAGCTTATCCGATATTAATAAATAATTTTATCTCATTAGTTTCACAAGTTGATATTGAAGTTAATTGGATAATAATCCGTGTCAATTTCTTGAAGATATATCGTTACAAAGAGTTTTCCATATATGTTTATATGTTAAGGATAGATGGCCTTTCGAAGATCGCACGTGGGCTGCTATATGTATTCCTTTGTGAAGTCATAGAAAAGAAGAAAGAATCAGCAATACGCTGAGTAGCCAATACAAATTTGCGTATGCGTTTAATTTCAACTCCCGACAGTTCGGTGAGATGTCTGAAGATATGCGCTCTTAAGCGTTTATGTATTGATCTCACAAACGCATGACAGTCAATAAGGAAGTGTTGAGTTGGTGCCTCCACATCTTCTTCCATTCAGCCTCTGAAGATGGTGTCTGGAAAGATTGCCAACCTTACAGCATGGACTACAATAGGGCAATCCTCCTCCTGCAATCAATCTTGAGCCAAAAGACTTTTGCGACAGCGCATGTGCTGATGACGGCCCAGTGCTGACTAAGCTTTCGCGAAGCACAGCTATCTACCCTTACCCGATCTTAGTGACTGGTCATTCCTCTAAAGAAGGCTGCTTTCCGGAGCAGTAGATCTACTGCTACCTTAATGGCTGCAGCCTCGGTTTAGAAGACACTGCAATAGTCAGGAAGTCGGAAGCTGGAGTTGAGATAGAGCTCCTGACTCGAAACCCCTCCAGCAACCTTCCCCCAAGCTTTAATCCATACTTAAAGAAGCTCACTCACTCTCTTCCAATGGCTTCTTCCCTCCCATAGCTTCCTCATCGGCATAGGGACAGAGAAGTAGCCGCCAGAGTTCGGTTTGGCGAATCCATGATCTAAGTGATCCAGTATGAAGTCGAAGTGTGTGAAGATATTCGATTGTTCAGATACATCTTCTGTTAAGAAACCAGATTCTCTGTGTCTGATAGCCACTTTCGTAGTCATACAACTTCCATCGATGTCTATGGATACTATGTGCAAGATGACTTTAAGTGCCATGGTTGGAGTGAACTTTAGTGCACCCCACACGCTGCTGAGCGCCATTGAATGCTCTCGAGTTTCTTCGAAGTGTGCTCTAGAGCCCTTCACCATATAAAGACTCCATAGAATATAAGGGATTTGACTATGGTGTTATGGCGCCAGAGGACCACTTTTGGTGAGACCCAATCTTTTGCCAATGGCTACAATTTTTAATAGAATGGCACATTGTGATCAGCAGACACGTGAGGATGTCTGCATAATATTATACACCAAGTTTGGTTGAAAATGGCAATTTTGTAGAGCCCTTAAATTCTGACGACTGGCACGCTTTGTAAACTCGGAGAAGAGAAGCACGTGTTTATTATCTGATCTTGTCCATCTATAAAGATTAGTCAAGCTTGCTCAAGTTTTCGTTTATCATTAAAATAGTCATTTTGATCTTCTGGCTGACGTTTCCCACATATGTTCAATGTATAAAAATATGAATATAGTTTCTGAGTCATAGATCTGAATTTTTGCACACGTACTTTTCTTCCAAAGGAGCTGCTCATTTGTCAGAACCGCTGATATCGGACTTAATTAGTTAAAGAGATGGAAGGATATAACTTCATCTTGTAAGAATTGCAAATGTGAAGGCTATTATCTTGTCGCATCGGTGCCCGAAAGTATTACTCCGCCATTGATCTTTGTCAATTATGAGAATATGTTCCGTTACACTTGAACTTAGCCCTTCCTTACATGTTCTACATATATTGATTTGTTATTACTATTGAATATTTATCAATAAATTAATCATGGTGGTTTCACTTTTTACAGAAATTGACAATCAAGCGCGTTTGGCCTCTTCTTCAATGTCCGAGTCGCCATCACTGGCCAATTTGCAAAATAAACAAAATCGAGATCAACAGTACTTAGCCGTGCGATGCAACCCTGGTAGTGGACCTACACGTGGTTCGCATTCAAATGACTCAGGTAGCTTTGGCAAAGCTGAAGGCAATGAATATATAGAAGATATCTGTCCATATGCAACATTCCAACTAAATAAACAAACATACAGCGAAAGCTCATATAGTGGTAATGTATACAGTGGACCGTACCACTCTGTGCGTGGCTCATTTGTGTATCACGATGTGAAACCAGACAATTATCATGTGAGTAATATTTACCAGCTTTTTTGAGATTATATTAATGATTTTATTCCAATCTAATAGTCGAAAGAGCCGGAGTATACAAAGGTGCGTCGGAAAGTTGGGCGTTTACGGGATCCGCATTCCGAAAGTCAAGGTCAGTATGTAGCAACTTGTTTAGCTTTATTTTATGTATTTAATATTAACTTGGGCCATAACTAAAATTAAATCTCATTGAATATATGTACATGGACAATATTATAATAGTTAAACATTTCATGATCGTCATAAGAGGTTTAAATAAATTCAATAGTGTATAGTATCGGTTTTCTAAATTTCATTTCAGAATTTATTTGGCCAAAGCTTTTCATGTTATTTTATTGTAATTTCTCTTAATTTATATTTGCCAAAAACTCAAGTTATCACTTGTTTTTACAATATATTGCCGAGAGTATAAACACTTAGTCCACTTAACACTGGATGTCTGCCTGTGTGTCCGACAGTCTGTCGCGATAAATTAAATTGTAATATTTTTTCTTTATAAATTGCATATATTAATGCTGCCAGATCAAATAGCTGCAATTTTGATTTCATTATAAAAATATTATCTCCTTAGCTGTTCGCCATAAACAAAATAATTGAAAAACACAAAAATTAATGGGCGTTATTTTTACAAAACTTCTCTTTTTGCACACAAAATGCAATAAAGTAAAATAGTTGCTCATGTATTTTCTCTGCTTAATAAATTTTATATTATTTTATTTAAACCGATATTAAAACCAAAAAATAAACTTGACAATCATCCACAATCAACTTCATCTAAAAACAAAATCCATCAAACCGTACTAAACTTTTTAGAATCGGACAATCCAGGTTCAACAGATTCCGAAGTTAGGAAAATCCTAACTCTTCACATACCAATTACAGAATATGACACATTAGGATCCGAGTCCGACAACGACGTGTCTACCCGAGGAATCAACTCTGCGAAGTATCGTACTCAACGTGGTAATATGAACAACTTTTTAAACTAGTTAATTTATAATAATGGTGTCCTCATCAAAACATATTATTATAAGGGGTGATCCATTTCAAGGTTCTCTACTTTTTTTAAAGGAAAAACACAGAAACTTAAAATTTATTGCGGAATGTTTATTATCATTCACTTATTTTTTGAAGATTAGCTTTTTCAAATATTGGTCGCGGCTACGCCTCAGATGGTCCAACCGTTGAGTCCAATTTTCGATGGCTCCTTCGAGCATTTCGACTGGTAAACGTTGAATGATTTGTAAACGTTGTTCAAGCTTAAGTCTTTCCGCGATGTGATGCCATACAATACTGAACAAAAATAATATGACAGGCTATTGAAAAAGTACCGCAACTTGGATCACCCATTATGTAGCTTAAATAAGTATTAAAAATCAAGCTCGCAAAAAAGCATTGTAAAAATATTAAGCGAAATTCTCAAATATTTCAACTCTGCAATATTAATCTATACAATATATAAATCTATTACATCATCACAAAGTAATTAAGTGACACATTTTATTCACGTATACGAATTTATTTGGGACACCCTTAAGTCTTTGAAATTATATAAAATTATATATAGTACATGATCTTATGTTTTTTATATACATACATACGTATGTAGACACTCAAGATGAAACATCTTCATCGTCCGAGACAACACCGACAAGTTTATCGAGAAAATCGAAACCCCCATTTGTAGCTCGTAAGAGCGGAAAATCAGGTACAAGTGGCAAACGCCATGTGCGCAGCTCCAGCGGTTATTCAAGTCACAACGAAGAAACAACGTTTAGGTAAAATCTAATATTCATATGCGCATATATTTTTTTAACTAAAAGTTTAATAATTTCTTTTGGTAAACATTCTCAGCATATCTAACTATCCACAAAATTACCAGGACCACATAAATCCACCAGCGCGATTTTCCGACACTAATGACAAATCCAAGGCTCAAACTTCACCTCGAGTACGTGGCAATCAGAAACTACAAAGAGAAGCCTTTCAAATTAATGTGTAACAACAACGGACTAAAGCCGTGCTGAAGTGCGAAACAGAACAGAAAGACGCAAAGTGATCATTTGCCAAATATCTATGAAATCGGAATGTGAATCTATTTTACTTCTTGAGGTCACCTAATAAAACGAAATTCTATTTTGTAATTTTTCCTCGTTTTTTAGCGCATTTTTATCAATTCCCGTTATTATATAATATTATAGATTAGGAAATTGAATTTAATTTAAGAAATAACAAAATTTTGATAATTATTTTTAAAAATCTTCTGAACTAATATTACAGCCTATATATCTTACATATACAATAAAAATAATTCCAAACACATTGTACGAAAATGGATACGTTAAATATTTAAGTAAAAATGCGACAGTGTATATAATAACATTATATATACAATAAGTCATGATATTATAATTTTTGTTTTAGTTTTAATCACAAGGAAATCGAATTACATAAATGCACATATATAGTGTGAGTAATATAAAAGAATTATCTGTTAAACAAATGTTTTCATTCAATCAACTTATAGTGAATAACTTTTTGTATAAGTTTAATTCATTAAAAATGGATAAAAATAAATATAAATCACAAAAAGACTTATTTACACCAGCAACTTAACTATAAAAATATATATATAGCATAACATAGTTATTATAATATTTATTACCGTTTATATTATTCTTCAATGTTTTTTACTAAGTAGATATTATAATTTTTTCTATTAAAACTCTAGCATAAGCAAATAAGATAATAATTATTGTTAAAGTTGTGACTATACAAACTTTCCGGAAGAGTTGCAATATATACATTGTTATAAATTGGGCCCTTACTTACCTAAACATATTTTTTTGAATACATTTTTGATCATTTTTAAAAATTATAAATGTTTTAGGCCCCAATTATGAGTTGCATTTGATCGGCGACTGTCGATGGTGAAAAAAGTGCTGAAAATTTTAATATACTTTTGCTGCATACTTTTTGAATTCAAGACGCTGACTTTAAACGTTTTTTACTTTAGCAGGTCTAAGGTTGTGAGCACAAAATATTTATGGACGTCTTAATTTTAATAAATATGAAAAAATAGTAGCGGTTTGATCAGAGAATGCGGTCTTTTTTATTGTTCGTTTTCTTCATCTTACAATTTTATTACTTAACGATAATTTCCATAGGTTTACCCAAGTCATTTGTGGAATTTACCTAACAAAATCATAATGGGGGCCTTTGTAAAAACATGTTCTTTTATTCTTAGAATTGAGAGCTTTAATAAAAAAATACTTAGAAAATATGTAAATAACCTTTTAGTTTTTATAGAAATATTCTGTTTTGGCAGAGAACTGAGTTTGCATAAGGTTAAATTTTGTGTGACTATATTCTTACCCTTTTTATTTCACTGTTTATGACGTTTTAAGAAGCTAAAAAGTTGCAGTTTAATAATACTTATCGCTCGTAATAGTTTATCCCGAATCAATCGAGACAAAAAATTCTTATAATAAAGGACTACTGAAATTCCATTACATTGAAATAATTAGCGTGGAAACTAATACATTCATAACATAGATCTAATAATCCCTACGTGTGAGAAAGTAATGAACAATCATGCGAACACAGGTGTTTCGATGAAGTTCGTCAATTCGGCCTTAAGAAATTCGTCGAAACAGAAATTCATGTTAGCGCTTTTCTAAATTATGCAGCGATTTAACTGATAGGTAAATACATAGCTGACTTATGGTAAAATTGTTTGTTAACACTATGGACCACTCACTAAAAGTCTGGTCCAATGTTAAATTACGACGCGATCAAAGGTGGACAGAGCGAGATTATTACAGGCCCCTTTTATGGTTTTGGAATTCGGTATTATGGTTTTAACTCAACCAGTGAAAAAAAGTGTAGTTGAATTGTTGTCAAACTTAAACTTTTTGTGGTATTACGGTTGCCCAAGAGTGTCAAAAAATTTCATTTAGGTATAGTATATATTATAAAGTTATAAGTTATAACGAACCCAAAACATAGCGTTGAGAATTGTATTGCGTAAACTAATTTTTGTACGCAATCCAACATCCACTTTTGTTAGACAACTGTGTCACATAATTAATGCATTTATTTTGGAAAACTATTAACAGAAAATCGAAAATCTGTATAAAGAACTATAACTAATTTATTTATAATTTCAAACCATTTTAATCAGCTATTATGTACAAGTCCATAGAACGGAAAATCATTTGCTGAGCATTTGTTGTAAAGTCTCGAAACTTGATGAGAAAGGCTACAATTTGGAAAACTAAACTATAATTAAGGGACCGTGGAAGTGTTTCGAACATAGAGAAGAGAACAAGAGGCGATAAAGTCTACTATTCGAGGGACTTTTTGAGTAAAACTAAATTTATTTAGAAATTTTACTTATTTTTCAATCATTGGTGTTTCATCCACAACGCACGCGTGTTCATAATATTTAAAGAATATTTGTGTCAACAATAGATACCGTAGGTTGCTTCAACACAAAGTTAAAATCATTTAAAATTCATTATTGATAACTACCGGCGGCAAGGAAATGAATAGTTTGTGGCAACGTTCCTTCATCGTTTTAGATTTAGTAGAAAACTAAATGTTTTTTAATTTAAACGAAAATAACCTATGAATCTGACTTAATTGGTGTTTAGAAGTTTCAATGGATTTGAGTGATCACGAAGCCTCTTCCTTATGCGCAACTCATCAGTTTTGGCACCAATATTTTTGTCATTGTAATATAAATCAAAACTAATGTTCATTTTAATAATTATTTGCCTTAATTTTATTTTTCATTTAAAAACTTTTAGCTGTTTAATTATCTGTCAAATGACCATTTTTAGGTTGGCAACATAAATCTAACGTCGATTAAACTTAATTGAAATCGTAAGTTCGTTATTAGACACGGCAACTTTTGTTGCTAATTCTCGGGCGATTCTCTTTTGCTGTTGCCCATTACCTTCACACGAGCAACTTGTGTTGCGCAACTCTATTCGAGTTTTTTTCTCATTCTCTTTCACTTTACTTTAACCCATTGCCGTTTCTTTTTCCTTATAGGTATTTGGGCCACTCTATCACATATATTAATCAGTTCTGTCAATTAAGAAATACATTTTATTTATAATTCAAAATTAAAATAATGGTTATATAACAGATCTTCACTATCGTCTGAATCAATTTGTATGACTTCCTCCATACATTTCACAATATCTTTAATTAATCCGATTTTTTCGTCATACTCCATTTTCTAAAATATTTATATTATATTATGTATATTTGTATACATATTTGCAAATTACGTACCAAAAGATGAAATTAAATTTTTAAAATATATTCAAAATATTAATTTCAAAATAATATACGCAAATGCAACTATGTACTACGAAAGAAAGAACACGAATGCAGAAAAACGTCGCAGCGAACTGTTACGAATAAGAACACAAATCGAGTTGCTGAACACTGGAAACTCGACGCGATTCTCCTCTCCTCGTCGCCCCCTCGCCTATAAACCAAGAGTTGCCGCAACAAAAGTTGCTTCGTGTAATAACGAACTAATACCAAAAACCAGTTCTGAAGTTGAAAAGGTCAACCAGAGTATACGATATCCGATTTATGATAATGCATACAATGATCGACATAATTTCAACTGTTAGTCGAAAATGATCATAAAGAATATAATGGGGCTAGGGCAATGTCTGAGCTGATTTTTTGGAAATGTACATGTATACTCGGGAACATGTTTCCACACTACTTTATGCACATAATTCAAACCCTGAAATATTTGATATAAAGTATGCTAAATAACGAAAATCTATTGGTGTAATTCGTAGACTGAGAGTGTGTACCCTCGGCATTAATCTATAGTATTTCTAATATTATACTACACGTCTATCCAATTATGATTTTCATATTGATAAATATATACTATATATACATTATAAAGCGATATTTTCAGTACAAAGTCTTACAGGTCTTGGAATGTTATCATCAGAATTTTATATCCTTAATAGCGTAGATTTAATTTGGCATGATGTTTATAACACACAGAGAGAAAGGTCGGATACCCTATAATATATAATATTATATAATGTCTGTATATAAGCGAAATGGTCCCTCAGTTTTTGAGATTCGGATCTGAATTTTTGGACACGTCCTTTTCTCTCTATGTAGCTGTTGACTTGTCGGAACCGACAACATCAGTCTACTATAGCATACAGCTGCCATACGAACTAAACGATGAGAATCAAGTGCAAGTGGAAAACCTTTTAATTTGACGAAAAATTTGATACGCATTGTTGTTTGGCAATTGCGCAATCTTCGAAGAAAAAGTTCAGATCGGAATCTTTTGTATTTATGAAGGGGAATGCAATGTTTTGTTGCGATATTTTCGTTGTTAGTTTTTTTGTAAACTGCAAAGTGAAACAATCACATGGAATTTAAAATCGTGCTACATGACCATGTGATAAAATTGGTTGGAGTTAGTGCAGTAATTCCAGTTCATACATATCGTACCATCTTGGCTTTAAAATTTAATACTACTAACGTTAGTAAATTAGTTATCGCACTTTTAAAAATTTTCAACATTATCGTTATTTGGTGAGTGGTCTTTGTTATCCCCCGATTTCAAATCATGTAACACTGTGTGAATTGTTGGTAGAAATACATATTCATAGCGTAATTGGTTAGCGAAATTAGTTTGTAAGATAAGTGTATCAAAACTATTAGTCGGCGGATTTAAGGCTTTTTACACCAAATACGCCTCTTTCAATTTTGAATGCTTGGACCAAATTAGGTGGTTGTATTTAAAATTTTGCTTTCTTGCTTTTCCAATTTGTGTGCAACGATATTTTGCGAGCGTGGTTATGGTCCAATACCACCCATCTGCAGTATCGACCTCCTCAAAGGGCCAACGAATGCGTGTACCAAGTTTCATCAATATAACATAATTGTTAGTCTAGTGATCGTTTACACGGAAAACAGTCGCCCGGATTTAAACTTGCTCATCAATCTGATCACTTATATATACATATATAACTCTGCTGGCGTAACCGGTGCTTCGTTCACTACCTTACACAAAAAAAAAAACTTTTTCAAGCTACTATATATACATTCCGTCTTTTTACTACCATTCCATCAATTTTTACCTAACAGTATGTAAGAAAATATGTTCATTAT